TCTCCTGTTATTCAATTTATATGTTGAATATGTATCAAGGGAAGCTAGATTGGATGAACATAGGCATGGTTTAAACTGGAGGAAGAAACATCAATAGCCTGTGCTGTGCAGGTGACACTGCTCTGATAGCTGAAAATGCAAATGATTTGCAAGCTCTAGTAATGAAAGTCAAGTAACACAGTGAAAAAAAGGGAGTAAGATTAAATATAAAGAACACCAAATTCATGACAATAAGTATAACAACCAGGCTTAGAATTGGCAATGAAGACATTGAAGTAGTGTATAGCTTCTGCCTTTTAGGATCAACTATCAACAATAAAGAAAACAGCTGTCAAGAAGTACATGGTAGACTAACACTTGGTAAACTAGCAATGAAGGCCTTGGAAAAGGTATTCAGATGCTGTGATGTGTTTCTGCCTACAAAGATCAGAACTGTGCAGACAATGGTGTGACTCTCTATGGAAGCAAAAGTTGGACTTTGAAGAAGCAGGATAGAAAGAGTATTGCTACTTTTGAACATTGGTGTTGGAGACAACTCCTGAAAATATTATAATTAGCCAGGAAAACAAACTAATTGATCATAGAACAAATCAATGCAAAGTTCTTGCTCAAAGCACAAATGACCAGGTTCAAATTACCATATTTTGATTGCATTAGGCAAAGACCTAACTCTCTTGAGAAGTCTGGAATGCTGAAAAAAGTGGAAGGAAAGGGGAAAAGAGCATGACCAGCAGCAGTGGCAATGGGTACACCGCTGAAAGATCTGAAGGGCCAGGTTGAGGACAGATCATCCTGGAAAAAATCTGTGTGGTCACTAAGAGTCAACACTAACTTGATGATACATCATCATCATTGTTTATGAAACAATACAGTGCCAAAGGGAGTTGCAGAATCAAATTCACCGAAACACTGGATTCCATTGCAAAAGAACTGCGGGGGAGGGAGTATACGAAGTAGCGTGTTCATTCTGCCTAGAGTTTTTATGTATCTTGTCTCCAACTGCAGTCCAAAGATTAACATACAAGAAATACTGCAGTTATGGAATATCATGAATAAGAATCAAGTGAGATAAGTAGACTGCTTACTGTTCAAATTATTATATTGAGCGATTCAGTTTCATAACTTCTTGATATCCCAAGTAAGTTCAGCGTTCTTTAAGAAAACTGATTGATTGATTCATTATGTGCTGTCACCTCATTGTCGACTCTTAGTGACCACATAGATAGATTTTCTCCATGATGATCTGTCCCTGACCTGGTCCTTCAGGTCTTCTAATGGTGCACCCATTGCCACTGTAACTAAGTCCATTCACCTTGCTGCTGGTTGTCCTCTTCTTCTCTTTCCTTCCATTAAGAAAACTATTCAAAGATTAATTTATAATAGCACAGCAACAGCATACTAAACTTACTACCTTCTAGGTCTCATGCCTGTACAGTGAGATACTTTTTCTTACAGCTCTTTAGGTTGAGGAACAGGAATTCTGAAACAGGATTGCCAACCATCTGAACTAATCTGCTGGATGATTTTAATTGAGAATTAAGCAGAGAGAGTTCATAAACATCTTTGCCAGGGCTACAAAGTCTGAATCAAACAACTGCCTTTAGAATTAATTCAGAGATACCAGTTAGATTTATACATTACGCTAGGACATGTTTTAGGCATCTAGCAAAATAATCTGGTGATTTTTGATTATTTCTAGTTTTGAAACTCAGGATATTTTCCCATCCCTTAATTACAAGTCATACTATTTGAATAATCCTTGATTCTGTCCCTAGCTTGTTTTTCTCTAAACAGTAATGTAGTAGCTTTGTGTGACAATCTAATATTTGCAAAGCTTGATGCATGTATAACATAAAGGACTGCAATTGGAATTTGCCATTTGCAGTTCGTTGAGAGCACCTCACTGAAGGCTAAGCTACACAGAAGGATAGAACACTGTACTTCTACTGAGGTGGTATTTCCAAACAGAGAAGACTGTAGTGGATGGAGTCCCCTCATTGCTGTCTAAACTGCTGTGAGTTATGGTTTTTCCAGCCTCTAATTATACAGTCAGCCCCAATCGCCTCTTCCTAACAAGGCTGACAGGCCAATCTCTCAAGAGCCCTTAATGTGTTATCATCTCTTGCTGGGTGACCTCATATTTCTAACTGCTCCAAGCAGGGAGGGAGGGAGGAAGGAAAAGTGTCATCATCTCCTCCCCCATCTCCTGTAAACCCACATCCCCAGGCTCATCTGTTCAGGCAAAGATCAGCCCATCCATCACTTCCCCGTTTGGGCTATTAGATGATTAAAGGCATTTTTTATAATATTTGGATGAGTTTTCAAAGCTTCTTGAAAGTGTCTGATTAATACCCATTTAACCCCTTCCTGATCAGGATGTAGATCAGCAAGTTGGAGAGAGATGCATGGGCAAGGCTGCAAGATGTTTCTGCTTTTTGAAGGATCTTGTTCCATTGGTTCATACCCTGCATTTTGACAAGGTGTGATTCATGTTCCCTGGACACCTGCAGGAAACAGTTCTTCCTAGTGGTTTTTGAGGTTTTAACGGTTCCAGGGGAACAGGAAATGGGACCTTGGTTTGTTATGCAACAGGCTGTGCACATATATAGTGTCCTGGAAATTGATTCCTTAGCTGCCCTTAACAGCAATGGGCCTGGATGGATAGCAGTTCTGTGACCCAGCAAGAACAGCAGCCATTGATGGGTACATCATGGAATGTTGGCATGTTAGCTTCATCTACATGTTTGTCTATGTTTTACTAGAACCACCTATAGAAGGAGAACATAAGAACCTCATTAACATAGGCTTTCTCTCTCTCTTCCAGTCATATATAACCTACTCAAACTGTTGCTTGTATAAGTAGGTTTTGGCCACTACTCACCACCTGAATCATATCTCCTTCAGGTTTGATTTGTTTTGTTTGGTTTAATCTGAACTACTATAAACCATTCATTTCTTCAGTTAAGTATCCTAATAGCATTTACAACTAATGCATTATTTCTGAAGGCAAAGCTGGTAAATTAGGCCAGCTCAGATTTTTTTGTATGTTAATTAATGAATTATAGATATTTATGTACTACTCACCTCCTAAGACTCTAGGCGGTTTATAGTAATAAATGCCAAAAAGATAAATCAATCACAGTTCAGAAACAAAGAAATCAATCACATTAAGAAAATTAATTCCTCTCAAGCCAAAACAACAACAAAATCAACATAAAAATGGCAGCTCAGAGTCACCTCAAAATCTCATCAAACAATGTTAAAAATCATAACTCATATGCCTGTTTAAACAAAACAGCCTTAATAGCCCTGTAAAAGGCCAATAAGGAGGATGCTGGATTAATTTACCTTGGAAATTGCTGCAAATTTATTGAGTTTTTTTTACAATTACAGAGGACTGGAAAATTTTTAAAATATTCCATTCTCATTCTTAACTAATGTTATTGACAATTAATGTAACTTTTGCAAGTTAAATAATACAAGTTTTTACTTCCAGGGCCCATTTATTACACACTGGATAAACCTTGTAAGAGGTTAGCTGTAAATTAATCAGTACTTGTTTTTCTATTTAGGGTGGAATGAAGTGATTTAAATAGAACATTCAGATTTACATTACTTTGTTAAGATAAGGGCATATGGCTAGCATGTCATACATACCATTTTTTTTCCTCTTACTTCCCTTATATTGTTAAAGGAAACAGCACCATTTTGCAACTGAAAGATGTGAACATTTCAATTAACACATTAATGCATTTGGTTGATCAGGAGAATTCTATTGAGTGACATAACGTATGTCAGAAGCTGAAAGACATGAAGATTAGAGAAGGGATGGTAAAAGCATGGAAATATGGGGAAAGGACTAATTGTCCCTAACTGTTAGAATTCTGTCCAAGATTCCATTTGATTTTGGAGACGAAGTTTCCAAAATTTTCTTTGCAAAGATAGAACTAGGATTCTCACCAGGCCACATTTTATACAGGATTGCATGCATATGAATTCTGTGTGAACAAATAGTATACTCTAAGGCTCTTTGCAAGAGATATCTTGGTAATTAAAAATCAAAGAGAAACAAAATATGAACCAGGATTCAAGTTGATCTGTAAAACTGTAAAAATGCCCACTCTTGTAAGAGAGTGAGTAGTTGATTAATAAGACTGGCTGTTGCTCTGGAAAGGGGTAGAGCCATGGTGATATAGTGATTAAGGTATTCAACTTACACTGGAAGACACAAGTTCAGGTCTACCTTCAGCCACAGAAGTTCACTGAATGATTTTGAGCCAGTCATTTCCAGACTGACCTACCCTATCTTGTGGAGGAAAATGGGAGGAGGATGCATATAGTCTTCCTTGAGTTCCTGAACAAAAGAAATGATATAAATCAAATAAATGAATATAGTCTCAGGCTGCCTATATATGAAAATGTGACACCCATTCAGAGAGATGGTTTAACAGCATTTAGCTTTCTTTAAATGGATTCTACAGTAAGACATTGCTTTGCTTTGAGAATCGTACAGAAAAGTTACATTGACATGCACGGAGGTATGAAGATAGCATCTATCTGCAACTCTTTAAAACAGCTAAGTCTTCTGTGGGGTTGTGTGGCCAGCAGCTTTAAAGAGTTGTATACAGGTGCTGCCTTTGTGCTTCTGCATGTTTCTGAACTACTGCACTGCATTATTCTATAGTTCAACCTATATAAGACATGGACATTATTTCTATAGTTCTTCTTGCCTAATCTCCTGATATGCAGTTGCTTGTGAAGAAATATTAGGTATCGGGATCTATAAAAATCAGTCTGTTTACAACTGTTCTTTTTGTGTGTTCTTTATAAGATTGAAGCTGCAGCTTTGCATACCTAATCCCATGGTAGTAGCTGAATTTGGAAAATCTCTACTGTTAAATGTCACTTGCTCAGCTGTAGGAGTCAGTTGATTGATCGTCTTCCTTCTGATGCTGATTGTCATATCTCATAATCTCAATTTCTTGTCAATTGATTGCCAGATAGAAGCGACAGCCAAGGAGGGCCACCAGTGTCTGCGGGGGCCAGCCAGCGCATGGCGTTAACTTTCCCCCTCTGTAAGTGTTTATTCTTTTATTACTGTTGTGGGGTATTTTAGAAAAGCAATAGAAGCATCACCAATTTGTGTAGGTGATAATTAGGACAATAATAAAAAGCAAAGTTAAGGCATAAAAAGATAGTATTCACAATATGTTAAAAGTATCACTACTGAGCTGTACTGTAGTGTTTGATTGAAAATTGCTGGGAACAAATCAGTCACTGTTTTGTCAATGTATGCTTTGTATGTGCTGTATTTTAGGAAAAAGATTCATTATAAGCAGAAGTAATCATGGGTAATTGCTAAAAGTTATGGGTGAAAATCACTTAAACATTGTCCTTAGAAAACTAGATGAGATATGAAAATAAAACTTACTGTAGTCACTTCCAGAGTGGGTTGGACAAATTATTCATTCTGGATCTTACAGTGGCCATTAGTGAATGCTAGTAAGGATGTGCACCTGCTCTGCAAAGGTCTTAGCTCATATCTGTATATCATGAAAACCGCTGTGAGCATTGCACAGTATGGAATTAGAATTTTATTGTAAAATTTGACTTGTTGAGAAATGTTTCTAAATTTCAAGAAAAAAAAGGATACTTTATACAGGGATTACTAGCATAGAAATGCCTCTTCTCTTTTTTCCTGTTCCCTATTTCCTTGTTTCTACTCCAAATTAATCTTTGTTGTTGTTGTTTTTCCATTGTTGAGATATTCTAAATGCATCATGGGCTACAGCCAGTTTGAGTTACATATATTGGCCCTGTTCATATGACATGATTAATTATATCATGAGTGTAGCATCCCTGTGTGCGTGGGGATCATGCAAGCTATCTAACCCATAATCTACTTAAATAACCCAAAGACTGTTAATTGGGGCTAAACTCAACTGTTAGTTTAGTCAGTTGATTCCCCTGTATTATAGGGGCTAACATCTGGGGAGTTAGTTGACTCTTCTCATTCCTGTGAAACGGGGACCTCCCTAGGAACACCCTCCTCTGTCTCAGTTTCCACCACCCTCAGATCACACAGTGGGGATGAAAAAAGGCCAGAAAGAATTCAGGGTGGTTAAACCCATGAGCCTGTCAGTGGCAGTGCCAAGCCTGGTCACACACAAGGGGATTTTTTTTTAAAAAGTCCATTGGGAGGTTAAAAAAAAGCCAGTGCAGATTTTAAAAATTCTAGACAGAAGTTTTTTAAAAAGCAGGGAATGGGAATGGAGTGACAAACTCCCAGCCTCCTTTGTGGCAGCTGGAAGGAATTTTTAAAAAGGCCATTCCATGACAGACCCAGCTATCCTCTGTTGCATGCTTTGGCTTAAAAACGTAGGTCTGCTGACTGGGAGAGGAGATAACTAGGTGTTGCATATCATCAAAATACAGTTAAGTCCTTTTTTTTTTTTTTTTTTTTTTTTTTTTT